GTTCTTCTTCTTCCTCTTCTAAGTCCACCTTCTCTTCTCACCCTCTCGCCACCTGACTTCTCAGACTACGACAGAGAGAGACAGAGTTGTGACTTGAGACTTGACGACATTGGATCCAGACTTGACATTTGGGATTCAGACATTCCAATGAGGGACTATTTGGGCTTGTGCCGAAGACTTGGTGTTGACGACATTCCCATCTTCCCCCTCCTCTTCGTCTATCCCCTTCCTCTTCGTCTGTGTATGGTATGGGCTGGCGCAGTCTTCCTGTGTGAAGCGCCAGGCCCATTTCACACCATGTAACGATGATGATGATGTATGTTCAGGGCTGCATTTCAACATTGATTGTTCGGATCACTGGTATCTAAGTCTTCCGTTGTGCTATCTTATACTTTGTATTGAAAGGTCGGTTCTTGTTCTCGTCTGCACGTTACAGTATGCAACAGGTACCAACTCTCCACAGAAATGTGTTCTGCAGGCTGCTTCGTCCGCTGATGTTCCACATTTTTTTATGCATCTGATGTGAGTGCAGAGGAAAGAAGCAACCCTGATCTTCTGGCATCCTCACCATCAAGAAGGCGACGGGTGGCAAAGGGCTCAGGAAGAACTCAAGAACAGGTTCAAGTCCCAATTCTCACCCCAGAAGACATCCCAGCAGACAAGCAGCCACTGAATATATCCCCTAGTCCTTTTCCTCAGCCTGAGCCTCCTTTTGCTGTTTTTGCTCCTCTTTCCGTTGTTGCATGTATGGCCAATCCCTTGAGGAGGCTGTCCCGATTCAGTCTGACAAGTCGTGGCCCTGACGTTACGGCTCAGGCCAAGCAGAACACGGTAGTTCTGGCTGCGGGAGCAGCCTTCCTTACATATTCATAATCCCTCACATGTTTGTGGTCGAGAGGACTCACCCAATCCATGGAGGCGGTGGATACGAGGGGCAGCTGTACAGGAAAGACATTTTGCCAGAGACATTAGTCCTGTCTGTGGAGGACTGGAAGGCATGCCTGCCCGGAGTCACATGATGCCAAAGTTTTGCAACAAGGAAAAAGGAAAAAGAAGGGTGAAAAACACTGAAAAGTTGAAAAACAGTTTAAGGCTCCACTTTACCACTACCTCAGCATTCTCTTTGTGATGTTCCTTTTTTTTTGTTGTTTTGAATTCCTTTGTTCTCTGTGATGAACCTTGACTTGCTGAGAAGCCAATCAGCAATGCAATAGAAGTCTGAACCCAGCATGACTCATGAAGTCTCCAACAACAATTACAAGTCCTTGTCACCGTTTATGTGCACAATTCCAGAGTATCGTCTCGTCAAAGAAGAGCATGAGAAAATAGCGAGGGGAGAGAAAAGACAGAGAAGAGGAGGAGGAGAGTCTCAGTGATTATCAATAGTGGATGTATGTCTCCCTCTCTTCCACTCCCACTCCGTGCTTCTCCCCTATCGCCACCTCAGCAATGTACGTTCCTTCTGACGTCCTCTGACATAATCACTCTCCGGATCATCACAGAGCGCCCATCCTCCCTCCATGTCAGCGATCAGATATGGAGGATGGTGCAGCACTTTCCCACCTTCGTGGAGACAGCAGCAGATCACACGTGTCGTCGCCAGGTAAGTCCAGGTAAGCTTCTCCTCATCTTCCGTCAGTTTCACAGCCCTGATCCTCCTCAGGAGTGGGCGCCAATATAATCTCCCTCTAGGCCACCAGCAGCATCTGGCGCCAGCACACAGCTCCAGCAGCCTCGCAATGCGGCACTAGCATCAAGCCAGCGCAAGGACGAATGCCCTCCTCAGTGGCTGGGTCAACGTTTGATAGCGTTGACTTGCGTTGATCAGCCTCAGCCTCAAGTCAACTGGTGGTCCAGATCGCCTGGAAGTCAAGGGCCTGGATGCAGCGCTGTCCCAGCTTCTTGACGAGTCCCAAATGGGCCGGAATCTTCTGGATACCTGCAGACAGCCTTTGAGATGCGTCTGATCGACGTTCGTGGTGACTTTGGGCCTAGAACCCCGTGCTGTGCTGGATTTGACTCTTGATTTCCAAGAGTCAACTGTCTCACGTTGGGGTACTGGACACAGCTTTTGACTCAGACCCTGGTACCCCTTGACCCTAGGCACTTTCTCAGACATTTCTCAGCCTTGGGACTGACCTTTGACCCCTGTTTCTGGCCTTTGACGAAAAGTGACGACCCTTGCTTGCGCATCTGTGCAGATCTGAACTCTTGAGTTCCATGTTTCCGTTCGCAGACTTAGTTTATTTAACTTTATTACATCCCCTGATTCCCCTTCTCATTGCTTCCGTGTTTTTCCCTTTCCTACCGTCTTCTTTGATGTCATCACCCTTGCACTGATGTGGCCAACCTTGAGGTGATGCCATTTTCTGTCATGACTTGCTTTAACTGACTCGGAGGTCGAGAAATCGGTGGATGATAGACAGTGTTCCATATCTTTTGAGTTCCATGTATAGCACTCATGCAACAGCAAAAAAGACAAGCATGCTTCGTCGTCGTC